TACTTTTATATATTCTTTTTGATATCCTATGAGTATGAATGAGTTCACATAAAATATGGAAGCGTTTACTGAAGAGACAGTCTAAACTCTGAATAATAGTGTTTATCGACGACAATAGAAAGTCACAAAAATTAATAAAGATTATTCAGTACTATACCCTCTCATCATTTTCTGTCTAAAGTTCGAATACGTGACGTACAGTGATCACGTGTGTGGTCTGTTGGAACCCTCCTCACTAGAATGACAAACATTTGAGGGCGAATGCTGTTGGAAGAAGATTGGGAACAAGTCAAATTCCTTCGAGACTCCGCCGCCAAAAAGGCCCAAGAACCTACCCCGCGCATAACAATACTGCAAGCTACATACGCTATAGACACTACCGATAATGGAGAGCTCAAACTGAACATGCAGGTATTGGCTCTTTTGAAGCTGAGCTCAGAATGGAATGGTTTCGCGTCGAACTGCTTTATGGGATTGTTACAGACTCTATCACTACATTGGCTATCGACGAGCTTGCTATAGTCGCTGATCGTACGAAACATTCATCCCTCGCCTCTTCTATCTTCTCTCCGTCGTTTTTAAATTGAAATTGTCAATAGTTAATACCAGAAACTTGGGACGCAAAGACAGCCCCAACATGCGATCGAAATCGACTGGTAACCTAAACGGTATCTCGCGGAGTAGTGGTGACCGGGACAGTGGGTGGATGGCGGAACTCCCATCCATGACCTAAATGGGGATGTCAATGTGCCTGGTAAACATGCAAAAGGACTATTTATATTCCGCTAGATTTCTCAGCTTAACTTTCTTAGTTTCTAGGTTATTTTTGCAAGTTCTCATCGTTTATGTAGAATCATTTTTGCTCGAGAGTTCACAGCAACAGTATCTCAGTAAAGTTCATACAGTCTTCAGTACCGTACCTTTTTCCGTCTAACTTTGTTCATGGTTCACACCACTTTTGTAAGTATTTTCGCTCAGTTTGTATTCTTTCCTGTAGTTTTTCGTCGTTTCATAGCTGTCATTTGCATTCCTTAGTAATTTGTAATTTTGTTTCTATTGTAGCAATCGCAATCGAAATAGGTGAAAGTGAAATAAAGGCGCGTTGGAAACTGTGAGACTCAACCTCGTTCCCAGGTTTTCTCTCCTACTCTCGCCCCGTAGGGACAGGTAGAAGAGAACCCTGGGAACGAGGTTGCCGTGAGACCACTTCGCTACAATAGTGCCGGTAAATAGGTTTACGTTTTCCTGGGTCTTAATCCCGGGGGGGGGTACTGCCATATATGGGCTATATAGGTATGTGCCGTTGTGAAGGGTATGGTTTTCAAGCAGTTTACTCTAGGATAGGGTATATAAATCAGAGCGTTTGGGTCTAGAATAGGGTATCATTTTTCAGGAAACTGATCAGTTGGTTGAAGATTTTGTCTAGACTAGGTACACAGCCACTCTAGGATAGGGGGATTTGGGGAGTTTACTCTAGTATAGGGTAGCAAAATTCAGCTGAACTAGCTCTGGTAAAGGTTAAGGGTTCCAGGCTCCCAGCGGCACATCCCCACCCAGAAATTCCTAAAGTACCCCCCCCCCCCGGGGAGTCTTAATCTACTTCTTTCACACAATTTGGTGGTAGATGGAACTGTTTGAACTTTGATGGATGTTAACACAGCTACTTATACCCTACGAGTGAGCCCTCCATTTGGGAGAGTCGCGAGAAGTCACACTAGAGTGACACGCAAAAGTAGACGCGACTGCGAGGGCGCGTTGTAACTTGCGGCCATTTTACTTACCTACCGCGCATCATCTTTGCTCTCAAACAAATCCCTTCTAAAAAGACTTAAGTCAAAGACAAAAGGAATCAATTTGATTTTATTGCATTGAAATTGGCTCCTGTCGCAGGCTAATTGTATGTAAGCAACTGTGAATAAAATCGTTGAATTAACTATGAGTCTCTAGTTAACAATGTTGTTTAATCCAGTTTCCTTTATCCGCAGTGATCCTTTTGTTGACACTAAAAGGGTTTTTTTTGTTGATTCACCTGATGGAAACGGTTTTCATCAATCACATTAACCTGAGATCAGGCGTCATTTTTTTTCTGCTTCTTTGCTTCTTTGGCTCGAGAGGGAAAAAAATAGCGCCCTCCTCCCGAAAACAGATTACAGAGATAAAGGGAGAGGGCATGATCGCATGCTACAATCACATCTCCAAGGTAAACCCACGTATCCGCCCGCACTTCCTAGCAAACGGCGGCTGCCTGGTCCCCATGCGTCCCAAAATACATGTAGCCGCACCCTTCCCCCGACAAAAGAAAAACGTCGGGGTGAGGGTGCGGATACACGTTGGCTACCGTGAGAGAACTGGAAGAGAGGTCACGTCAGTTCACGGTATTTTAGAGGCACTGATGAGAAACGAAACCGGAACGAAAGTATAGTAATCCAATGGAACCACGATGGCTTCGAGAAGTCCTCAAAAAGTCTTCGAAAATCCAACTGTAGCAGTAACCCTTGATGACTTGACGGATTCTCCATCAAGAGACACTGTATTAAGTGAAGATCAAACTGAATTCCTAGACGCAGTGCGTGACGGAGATCATGCCAGAGTGCGCGAATACATCTTGCAGAGGTCTGTTGATGTGAACTGCGTAAACCTGCTCGGAGAAACGGCTCTTCAAATAGCAGTGAGCAACAACCGCCATGAAATTGCCAAGTTCCTTCTTAACGAAGGTGCAGATGTCGGTAACGCGTTGCTGTATGCCGTCGCGAATGAGTCAACTGTCTGGGTGACACTGTTACTTGACTTCATTGAAGACGTTAACGCTCAGAGCCACGCAACAACAGCAGGTACCTCACGAAATCAGGAGGCAAGTAAAGCTAGTGAAGATCATTGTTATACAAAATACATCTCGCCTCTAGTGTTGGCTGCGCAAAGTAATAATCAAGAGATTGTGAAGATTCTCCTTGAGAAAGGCTACACGATTGAAGAGCCATCTTTTCACAAAAGATCGTGTAAATGTGGGGAGTGTGAAGGCAAACGTCTTGGAAGTTCCATTCATCGTTTGCATAGCTACCGTGCGCTGGCAAGTCCTGTTTACTTATGTTTGTCTTATTTACTCGATCGTTCTCCCAGTGGAGATCAAGATATAAAATCATCCAAAGACCCGATCATTTGTGCGTTCCTTCTAAACCGGAAGCTGGAAAATCTTATGGAAGAGGAATACGAGCTTAAGAACGATTACCAGGCGCTGTCTAGCGCATGTGAAGAGTTCGCCGTTTCACTTCTCACGAAGTGCCGATCGATGGAAGAAATCGGCTGTTTGATGAGTGTACCGGGAATTGAGACACTTGAGCATGTAGAGGTTAGAGGAGGGAAAGAAGCTCAGAAGCTGAGCGTTCTCAACTTTGCAATAGCTAACAAGAATGAGAAGGTAAGACCTAGTACAGCTGTAGATGTAGCAGGGGTAATATATATGCTGCGATTAGGAGCGATTTGTAATTTATGGTTACTGTTACCTTGGTGAAAGGTCGTGATGTGAAAAACTTGGCATAGCGGAGTTTTAACTAAGGGTGTCATAATACATCCTGATTCATGAACAACGGTAAAATCGAACTACGTTTCTGTGTTGGACATAACTCCAATTTCAAGTTTGAAACTCTCAGAGTAGTCAAAAAAAGTTGGCTGAAGATTAACGCATTCTTACACAAAGCATCGCAAATAGTTTGGTTCAAATTAAGTACGATTAGACGTTTAATAAAGGGTCAGTGTCTGTATCTTAATTAGCATTCAGCATTTCGTGTCATTATGCATATTTCATATTACTTTACGAAATTTACATTTCAGTCCGCAAAAACACTTCGTCGCACCATCAGAACAAAGCAATATTTCTTTACAGTCCAGCGCGTGTACGTGTTTAGATCATGGTAGATGCATGAGGTTATAAGATTGGACACGTGAGACTGACTTTTACGGAAGTAAGACCGACGGGCCGAAAAAAAATTTTTGGGAGACCCCTCCCCCTCCCCTCCTGGGGGACCTCCCCCAAACCTTATCTCAAGGTCTGGATCCGGCACTGCCTAGCCGACACGGACGGAACTAAACTTGGTCTACGGCGCTATGCTGCAAGCAGTCTCATTTTTTTTCCTCGGCAAAGTTCCTCCTCGCGAACTGCGTGTTCGCCTGCAAGCCGCCAGCCACCAGCCGCGTCTTTTCTCGTACCGTCCTAATCTCTTGTTGTAACATTTTTATTTGCAATCGCGCTGGCTGGGATAAGAATAGAGGAACTGGGCGGATTTTAAGAGGAAAGGAGGACTGCAAGCAGTCTACTATGACGCAGGCTTGGAGGATGGACTGAGGACTGGGTATAAAAGGCAGATTGGATAATGGATATTAAACACCTTGACTAGAAACAACGGACTGGGTATAAGACACGGGCGAGGCATACTGATACGCTGGCTATGGATTGTGTTTTACCTGGGTTTTAAAATCAGCTCTCAAAAAAAAAAATGAAATAAACAGATTACGGACTAGCGCAAAACGGACGTGCCACGCGGGTGTATGAATAAAAGTGAAACAGGTATAATTAAATCCTCTATTCGGCGCCCCTTGCAGTGTTATAGCTTTTATTGGTTTATAAGTACTGCAACACATCGAAAGAAAAAACGAAAAAATGAAGCTTGATAAGGTCACTCACAATCTAGCCTAACGAGCGCGAGCCTAAACGTTATTTTCGCCGGCTAAGCAGGCAAGAAAGCTCATGGCACTGGTTTTGGTTTGCATGCGTCGCAGACGCTCTAAACCTTCTGTATAGACCCTATACAAATGGTTTAGGAAAGTGTGTGGGCTAGCTGAAAAGCAGGCTTGTTTTGGTATGAGTCAACTTTACATTTCGTAAGCGAACAGCTTTACGTGGCTTGCTTAAACCCAGGCCTTGGTTGATCAAACGTTGGATAGCGCTATTCACCGGATTAGTCATTACCTAGTGACAAGTATTAAGGAAACCAATTGCGTTATTCACTGGATAGAGATTTATTTAGAGGATGGCTATATCCAACTTTCGAACAACTAGGCCCTGGACCAGCTCCCTTCTAAATGAATCAATATAAAGCGATCCTATAGACTGACAATGCAAGGTCGCCACCACCACCATCATCATCATCATCATCATCATCGTCATTCCCCGATCTGCAGTCTCATTTCCTATTGCTCTCCCAGGTTTATCATTGATGATGTTTCTTTTTTTTTTTCAGTTTGTAGCTCATCCATATAGCCAGATGATGCTGAATTCTGTGCTGTACGACGAATTGGGAGGATGGGAAGACCATAACTTCCTAAACAAGGCCCTATTCTGCCTGCTATTGGGTGTACTGCTACCGGTTTTGGCACTGTGCTATTTTGTGGCACCCAACAGTCGAATCAGCAAACTGCTAAAAATACCAGTCTTCAAATTCTTGAGTCACACCGCTTCGTCCTTCTGGTTCCTTGTCCTCTTGGTCTTTTCGTCCATTCAGGACAAGTTTTCCGACGTCCTTGATTTTGCACCCTTAGGTAAGAAGTGTTGTATATTTTCTGTGGTAGAGTTGTCTTATTCTGAGATGTATTCAAAGTACGTAGACAACCCAGACATCATCCTTAACTAAAATTGATAACGTTACTTTAAAGGTGACTTTCACAGTTAACTCGGAGATGGTCCAGCCTCCATTCGGCTTGCTAGCTCAAACTGGTTAGCCGATCTCTGCACCGGTATCGCAGATGTCAGGGTTCGAATCCCGGCAAGCCTGAAAATTTTCAGGCCTACTTTTCGCTACTTCATAAGTTTCGTGTTTAACTGCGATGATATTCTTCGCAACATAATTAATATCGGTTATTCTACTGTTTTCTAGATGTTCTCATCATGCTGTGGATCGCAGGTATGCTGTTTCAGGAAGCAAAAGAGGCCTATCGTCAAGGGAAAGAGCGTTACCTATCGCAATACTGGAATTTGCTCACCCTGTTCATGCTGGGTCTCTTTATAGCCTCAGGAGTCCTGTGGCTCTGTGGATTTTTTTTGACTGTATCAGGAAAGAAAACCTGGGTAGTATCAGTTAGTGATGTGTTCGGTACCAGCTCTCAGGAGATCGCTTATCGCTTAATCCTCCTGTCGAATGCGTTTTTTTCCATCGGTATGGTTTTGGCGTTTCTATCTTTCTCCAACGCCTTCCAAGTGAACTCGGTATTAGGACCGCTTCAGCTGTCGCTTGTAAAGATGGTTCGAGACGTCACCAAATTTCTGTTTCTGTTCCTGTTGTTGTTTCTCGCGTTTGGCTGGGCGGAGAGAAAGGTGTATTCGCATTATGTCCAAGCCAGGGAAGCCTTCGTGGGAAATGCAACTGAACATGAATTTGCAAGGTGAGTGTCTAATCAAAATTTTGTATAAAAAGCGTACGCAACAGTAGCAGCATTCCCAAGGCTATTCTCACACTACAGGGCTTGCGAAGGGTTACCAAAAACATAGAGCTGAGGGAATTAAAGTTTTTATTACTTGCACCCTACACGGAACCGCTGCATATAGGCTGGGAAATGCCTTTAATTGGCGCTAAAATTGCCTTTTAAAGTCGGACAAAAGGGTAAAAAAAATCCGTGTAACAGACATTCACGAAGCAATTTTTCTTTAGCCTGAGAACAGAGGCTCTTTTTTTCTCAAAATGAACTGGCGTACGAACTACAAGTTGCTTCTGCTCGCTGGATCATTGTTTGGATAAAAGATCTCGCAGTGAAATGAAATGTAATTGGTCTGTACTGATCCCAGCACTGATAGGATTTATTGATTTTTGAAAACGCTGCAATACAAGGTGTCCCAAAAGTTCGTTCCATTAATTTCATGCACTATAATTTTGATCAAAACTTTATTTTTATATGAAATTTCTAGAAGATGTTTATTTATCTATTGAGTACATGTATTCAGAATTTCAATAACTGCCGTGCCCTTTTTGTTTTTTTTTTTATCACATTCTGTACCCGTTGGGGCATGAAGTGGGATACAGCTTGTAGACACACAGATGATCCATTTTGAGCTTTTTTATCACCTGGTGCAGAGGAGCCAGTTCAACCCTCAAACAATATTTGTTTAGTTTAGGCAGCTGAAAAAAAAATATACTGTGGAACCGCGATATAACAAAGGGCCAAGGGAATGGCAAAATTTGTTCGCTATATCGAGGTTTCGTTTTATCGAGGTTCTTTTTCATGCATTTTACTATTGCTGGGGTAAAGAAAATCGTTCGTTCTACGAAGGTCTTCGTTATATAGAGGTTCGTTATATCGAGGTTCCACTGTATTTTAAGCATTCATCCAAAAAAAAAAAATCTTCCCGGCCTCCCTCCACAGCAAGGCTTTTATACTTCTTTGCAAATTTGAGACGAGCTGGGCGTTACTTGGCAGACTAAGCAGAGGTTTTTGTGCCATCTCAGGCGCCTCTAATTTTAAACAGCTTTTCATGACCCTTTCTGGAGTTGGCGTGTTATTATGTGAGAGCTTCCTCGTCGAGTCTCCTAATTTGTAGCTATCCTTCTTTAAAACTATTTTAGCTGCTTCATTCAGGACATTTGGTCTTCCCCTTGGTTTCCTACTTTCAAAACCTTCATTTCCATAATCATTTTACCAACCAACATTCGCATTTTTCTAGTTTTTTTTTTTTCTACAACAGAGAAACCAGTAAATCGAAGTATAACGCTTAGGCTCTCGCGTAGCTGAACGTTTTTACGTTAAGGGGGTATATCTTTCGTGATATTGACAAAAAACAAGGAAGGGGCTCCAGCAATTCCAGGCTATAAAATACAAAAAAATGTGGCTGGAAAATATACTCGCGTACGCGCACCTTTGGCACGGAAGTACAAAAATCGAATATTCGAGTCAAAAGATGGTACAACATTTATGAAAATAGTGAATTAGATTGAAAGACACAACTTTTGTTTCAACGATTTGCTTACCAAGTCTGATCGTACTGAAATACAGACTTATAAAGTAGTGGAACGAACTTTTGGGACACCCTGTAATTTATTGAATTAAGTTGCGAAAAGTAGGAGCCGAAGCGAGAACAGTTATTCTTTCTTTGACTTCTTTGGTCTTCTCCTGTATCAGTTTTCGTTCAAGGAGGACGTGTGCGTAATGATCAAGTTATCTGTATCATGCAGCCCTAAATTTTATCTCCCAGGTTTTTGAATAAAAAAAGGTTCTTCTTGATGTTGTATATATTTTAAATGGAAGATCAGGTTTAGCACATCCCAAGTAGCTAAGTTGATGAACAAGGAACCGGCGAGGCTTGCTGCTATTGGAAAGCCAGAAGAGAGCGATAGGAAATATTTTTTCAATAAATGGTTACTTACGGAAACTAGCTAATTGAGATCGTGTAGTACAAGTTTTGACTGACAGTTCGATCCTTTTAGCATTGGAGGAAGCCTGAGGTTCTTATTTTGGGACTTGTTTGGAATGGCGGATCTGGGAGACCTCAAGACTGACGGGAAATTCGCCATCACACAATTTACAGGTGAATTACTCCTTGGCCTGTACAGCATCGCATCAATTTTGGTTGCAATTAATATGCTGATTGCCATAATGACAAACTCCTATCAGCAAGTCGCGGTTAGTGAAGCATTTATTTTGTCAACACCTTAATTGATTGAACGATCGCTAGTGGGTGTGTCTCAGAGTTTACTTCGAGAGCTACTGGCTTAAAATAGTTCTAATCTTTGCAAAAGTCTCCAAAATAATCATTAAGACCAACAAGAAATTAGTTTTCCTATTATGGATGAGATTTCCTGAGAATGTTGTTATGGACTATCCTCCACCAGTGCAAATTCCCCTGTGCTACATTCCTGTCCCAGTTTCTTTGATTTCCTCTAATCAACTTGCACGCCTTCAATGACAAGGCCATCACTTTGTCAACATTACCTTTCCCATCAGCCCTTTTCTTTTTGCTTAATAGCGGAGCTCCACGCACGGCGCGCGTGGGCGGAGCCCCATAGCTAAGGCCATGTGGTAATCTACCCATCTGAGAAAATTTGGTAATCACATGACCGTACACCGACCGATCGACCGTCCGTCCGCACCACAGGCATACCAATGTAAAATAACTCAATCAACAGGTATGGCAACCCAAATGCAACTCAACGTTTTATTTGGAAGGAAATCACATGGCCACCCGGACTTTTAGAAAGAAAAAACAACAACAAAGTCTGTCTTTTTCGGCGTTATTTTTCATGTTTATACTAACTTGGATAACAAAAAAAGAGCCAGAGCGAGTTATTGAAAACAAAGGAGGCGAATTTCGTAGGAAGAAAAACATGGAAATTCAAAGCGGCGGTGAGAAAATGAGAAATGCTAGCGGCCAGCAAAGTGAAAATGAGCGGCAGTGAAAAATAAAAGCGAACATGAACACAGGAAACAAAATATTGGGTAAGCACATTCCTCCATAAAAATAATTTGTAACTAGGAAGTTTGACGTTTTTAGCGCTAAAACATCCGTTTCTCCTCGCTCTTCGCGGCTGGGGACGTTTCGCGCGGAGGAACGTCTGCGACTCAGCGACAGAAATTCCATACTGATGACGTAAAATCTGTCCGAAATCCGGTCAGAAGCGCTGATTGGTCGACGGAGTAGTTACATTGTTTTAGCTATTGTTTACGAATGACAGACAAAGGACAAAAGGCCACAAAGGTCGGATGTAAACGCGAAGAATCTCAAGCAAAACAGTCAATATTTGTGGAATATACTCTTCTCTAGAAGAAGCGTTTGAGTTTTGCTGGAGCTCGTTGGCAGATGAACACAACACTTTACCAAAATCGACCAGAAGACACTTAGAATTCAGAGAATTGGACAAATTTGTATTTGGAATCCCATGACTACCGGATTTATTATGTAAACATTGATTTGCGTCATCAGTATGGAATTTCTGCCGCTGAGTCGCAGACGTTTCTCCGCGCGAAACGTCCCAAGCGGCGAAGAGCTGGGAGAAACGGATGTTTTCGCAGGCTAAAAACAGCGTTGTAGTTGTGCAAAACAACGGCAAAAAAGCGTGCTGCACGTGCAAATTTGTTTTTTGCTAATTAGAAGGAAAAGTGTGCTGCACGTGCAATTTGTTTTTGTGCTAATTAGATCTGTTAGTCTTGAAGCCATTTTCATTGTCGTCCCCTTTTAGCATTACACGATTTAATTTGTTTTTGTTTACAAGTATTATTACCCAGAGCTTCGCTTTTAGCCCTGGCTAAATCTATATATTAGATAATTAACGAGTGGATTGATCCAAAAGGGGGCCTGGGTGAACAATTCACGACCCAGCTTCTCATAGGGAAACATTTATCAATAGGATACTGTAGTTCCTCATGTTATACTTTAGTAGCTGTCCCGGCGTGGGAACCATTCATCACAGGTGTCCAATCAAAATCTCGTAGCTGTGAAGTAAATGTTATATTATGATGCTTTCTATATACGTATAAGAAAAACTAGCCCTGTCAATTTTCCGTTGTCAATATTTTCAAACCAGTTGTCGCACATTTGAGTTAAAGCCGAGACAGTCGAGTGAAAAGGGCGAAATCCTGACTGAAATTTTGAGAAAATAGAATTGTCCTTTAGATAACGATGTAGTTGATTAAAAACTTCTTTCTCATAAATTTTACTAATTGTTGGCAAGGTTGAAATGAATCTATAATTTCCTAAATTACGACGATCGTTATCTTTGTAAACATCCCAGAGAGACAAATTAAATATGAAGCCGGGTTAAAACGATGGTGCAATTACACTTGGCAGGGATCTTATCAAGACCGCCACTTTTCGACACTTTTAAGTTTTTTAGCGTAAGCGCGACGCTTTCAACTGGAATTTTAGATAATTCAATGACTGGAGTATGATCCAGGTTGCTGGTATGTTAACTTTGTTAGAAGACGTTTTTGTTGATTGGCCCTATGTTACAAAAAAATCATTAAATGATTCGGCAATGTTATTATCGTCAGAAATAATTCTATCATTAATAAGGATATCCTTAACAAGAGTACTGTAGTTTTGTTTCCCTTGCCTGTGAGTGAATTTATTGTATTCCAACCCGTCTTAGGGTCTGTGGCTTTACACGCATAAATTTTTGTGGTGAGAGTAGTCTGATTTCGTTTTGCTTATCTCAGTATCTCGCTCAACAAAATTAATCTTAGTCATCAAAGAGCTGCACATCCGCACAGGGTGGTCTGTACCAGGTGCTAACAAGAAAATACCTGCGGCAAGGAAGGATAATCTCTACAAGAGATCATTTCCGGAGACTCGGGCACTAAATCAATTCTGTTTGTTTGTGTGACAGATTTTCCCTAATATAGAGAGCAACACCACCAGCCGATCGATTGCAGTCCTTGCGATTTATACTGTAGTCCGGAACATATACTTCATTATCAACAATAGTGCTATCTAGTTTTGATTCATTAGTAGCTAGCACTTCCAAAGGGGAATTAGTCAAAATGTTGCGAATTTCATTTGTTTCCAAAGACTATTAACATTTAAACAGGCAAGCTTAAACCCGTTACACAATGGGCTCTCTTGATGGTATTGGAGTTGTAATAGTCAACTGTCTTTGCCTGTTACAGCAACGGGCCCAAAAGTGTGACGTCCTTTAATTAATACATATTCTTTCATGAAGGCATTAACCAATGAGAAGTCGAGGACAGTTTCCAGCTGGCTTCTGATTGGATCAAACCTGTGCGAAAGAATGTGAATAAATTAGAAGCGGTCACACTTTGGACTCCTTGCTGTAAATGCCCTAAAACGAACTGGTTTTACAGCCTTAGGGAACTAATCTAGATTCCTGGACAAAAGTCCTTAGGACAGTGAAGCAGTACTGGTATTTGTCTTTAGTTTCTGGCTGCCTTCATAAAACAGTGCCACCTGTTGTGGCTCTCCTTTTCCCTCACCTTATACAAATTTGAAACTCGGGAGAATTCTGGATACACGCGTCCTATCTTGTCTGGGGGATTGGGGAGGTGCTGGGTATATGTGATTTCAAGAAAGCACAACAAATAACATTCGGTCCCTACACTTTTTTCCATGATTGTAGGTAAACTGATCACATCATCTTGAGTCAGTGAAGTCAGAATATGATTTATGCAAAATCTTAATTAGATCTTACGGGCTTTAAATTTTATGTTACTGTAGGATGACGCGGATATTCAGTGGAAATTCTCCAGAACCCGGATGTGGATGCCATATTTAGATCAAGGCAATGCAATGCCGCCTCCATTCAACCTCATTCCCCCTCCACACTTAGTGATTCAACTCTGCCGAAGACTGTGTAGAGGTGCTGGGTACTATGAGGTAAGTTTGCAGATCTGTTGTGCATCGTATTTCGTGGATCATCTGTCTAAATACTCTGCACAGTGGCATAGAACAATAATCTGACCAAAACACCTCAGTCAGATTTAAAACCATTGGAAGTAATGATGTTGCAATCAAGAAATGATGCACATCTAATTTGAGGCAAAGATCGTCTTGCCAGTGAGTTCTATGGCTGCTCATTTGGACCAGGACTAAGTACGTACTTTGCATTGTCTATTTCTCAATTTCAGCATCAAAGCTGCCAAGGAAGAGATAGATCAGCAACTCCAATAAAAGACAAGGTGGACTTAGACAAGGTAAATATACTACAGGTGTGTACTATCAAATCTCATAAGCTCATACGTTGCGCATGCCGTAATGGATCTTTTTTTGCGAGAAAAATCATGCCTTAGGCTAGTTCACTGCGTGTGGTCTGCAATCTGGAGGTTATGCGACACTGGTAAGACTGTGTATTTTGTAGGGAGCTTAAGCAAAGACTTTTTGACCGACGGACTTGAGGCCGGAAGTAAGGCCTTTTTAATTTTAAAAGGCCTTGACGCTACCGTTTTTTAGTTTTTTAGTGTCTTTACTCTTATAGAGACGATCTGCCCGAAAAATGAATGCAAAAAGTCCACTTCCGGTTGACTTGCGTCGCTCAAAACGCCTACTAATCTAGTTGAATGGACTATATAACGAGAACTTTTCGCCAAATGAAAAGCACGTCCATTTTGCGATGCCATGCACTTTTCATTTTGTATATTTCTTTTCCGTACGTTCTCTTTATAAAAAAATTTCGAATGTTCTGACTACTTCAAGGTTTGACCGAAGACATGCATGGGTGATATAGTTCATAGTTACATCCGTAGGGGTTTTATACTATTATACTTTAACCGTGAAAACCTTTCCCATAGATTTCGCAAGTTGCAGATTTCAATTGCCTAAGACGAATAAAACGTTCGAAACAAACAAATAAAAAAAAGGGCACGAGTTCGAGTTGTTTTTGTTTTAAGCGACCTGCTTCTCCTAGGCTTTGCTAAGTATCTCCATACCCGTGCTTTAAAACCAGTACAATGACATGCCTTATGACATATTTGCTTGCTAAAGTTTGAAGACTTTCACTCAGTTGACGACATTATGGATATCCTAACAGCCTTATATACAGCGTTTGTCAAAATAAAACGACAGCATTGGCAAATTACTAAGTTAGCGCTTTTTTATTTTTCCTATAGCGCCATAAAGTGATGACTCGTTTAATCCAGCGGTATCTCCTCACTGTTAACAAGTCAAAGTCCCAGTCCCACGCTGCTCCAGAGTCAGAAACGGTGAGTCTGGACGAGAACGGACAACTTAGGGGCTTGCTAATTCAACTGCAAGATTTTTTGAAGAAAAATAAAGATCGCAAAGATCCTTCTGTCGCCCGCGTTTAGACAATTTTCCGAATTACGAGTAAGCTAGGAAAGGGTTTCTGTTGTTGTTGTTGTTGTTATTTTACCATTCCATAAGATTTTCAGGGACACAGTTTCACCACTTGGCCTTTATTTTGGTGTTTCCTGATAGTCTGCAAATGGCTTCCAAATTTCCCATGTGGGAAAATGTACCTAATGTTTAGTTGATATTTACCTAAATGTGTTTTTGGCTCAAATGAAGTCGAATGTTTTGATCGATAGGAGACGTGGTAGTAAACTCAAACTTAAGGTAACAGTTAAGACCACGTGATTGGCACTAGGAAAATAGAGCAAAAGTCTTAGCGTTTGTTTCACAGCGGAACTGTGGTTTAGGTGAGATAAAGTGTGTGGTTAAAACAACCGAGATTACCGAAAGTGTCTTGGATATAAACTCTTGAAGGCAGTTTCCAAAACAAGCTCCAAAAATAATTTTGGAAACACAGTTTTGAAATTGTCCTGAAAGGAATTAGTTTAGATACTTATCAGTTAAAAGGTTGGCGTGTAATTAGGAATTTCAGACAAAAACGTTTAATTAGTTGCAAAGGTTATCTGCCAACTCACATCACTTGACTTGTTATGTTATTTTTCACGTGATGTGTTTAAGTTGTAACATTGAGTAAAATTAAACGGTTATATAAATTGTGACTAAAATGCATAAAAATGATGTCTTCTTCGAAGACGTCATCTTGGAAGATGTCTATATTCATAAGATAGCCAACTCTGAGCAAATATTTTACCGTAAACAAAACGTTACTTGGCGTTTGGTATAAATAGAGTATTATTTTCGGTAAAATATCTTATATATTGGTTTCGTTGAGGACAAGCTGGGACCGAGAAGGACACTTTTACTTCAAATAAAAATACGAAAGTGTGTATTAGTAACTTATCGGTCCTTGAGTCTTTAAGGCCATCTGTCGGACAGATGTTCGAAAGTCGGACACAACGTCATATTTCGCCAACATGCATGCTGAGCATGAGAAAACAGCCTACATTGCGCGATGCCACCATAGTTTCCCCGCGAAATGACGTCACTAATGACGCGTCACCACCCAAATTTGGTTAGTGCTTCTGATTGGTAGTGCCGAGTGGGAAATTTACGATTACGGGCGAGCAATTGGCAAAATTAAACAAAATGAACAGGACTGCCATGACACAACCCTTTTAACTTACGACGGCACGTTAATTTGCAAAACGGCTATCTTTGGATCAACGATCATAGGCGTATTGTGAATGCTTTTGAGATATTAGACCTTGACTATTGTAGCAGTATTCTCTATGGATTTAAAAAAACTTAGTTGATCTTGAAGAACCACGACGTCTAATAACAGGAAGCAGTCGGCAACAGCACATAATTCTAGTACTTGATAACCTGCAAGATTTGAGAAATGTCTGCAGTAAAAACTTGCGAGTAAGAAACTGAGGCTAAAATTTGCCAGTTATGCCACCTACACAAGAACCTGCTACGCCTAAAGATTTCAACGAGTTTCTTATTTGCCAAATTCTGTACACCTGGGCTGAAGGACTTCAAAATTCACGAGGTCAGTAATTTGGTACATAGATTTTACTTAAGGACTGTAAGGAATAAGCTGAATACCACATTACTAGGAGGGTCTGAATGTACTGTTGCAATTTTTGTAATACCTGTCGCAACTTGTAATAAACCGTGTCGCACTTTGTAATAAAAAAGCTGTCGCAATTTGTAATAACTGTCCATCACACTTTGTAATAAACTAAGCTGTCGCAATTTGTATTAATTCCATCGCACTTTGTTATAAACTTAAATTATTTTCTTTGGTCAAACATGCATGTCTTTTCTGCCTTAATTAATCACGTGACCAACAAGAATCGCTTTTATGAAAGACATGAAACTTCCTGTGATATGCCACCAAAAAAAGGTATGAATCGTTTCATATATTTGAATTCAGAAATATTTAAATAACAAAAGCAACATTTAACAACAGAAAATTCATGAATAACCTGGCATTCGTCGTCCCAATCCATGTTTGCTTCTCACGTGACACGTGAAGCCTTCGGGGTGGGGGGTGGGGATAATCCCATATTCATGTATGGTCTAGGCAGGTAAGTATCGCTGAGGATCTGAAACCTTAAGTAGGGTATCATTTTTTTACCTTGTTGGCTTTGTTTCTTTGGTTTGATCCTTAGGTAGTGTAACTCAGGTAGTAATGGATGGTTTGGTTTATTATCCTTTCCATTTTGTGGAAAAAAATAATAATCCTGAACACGCTCGGAAGAATTGCAAGGTCTTACGAGTTGTCCGCAGGGAAGGAGAATTTTTTACTATCCCCACGGTATTTGCTTTAGAGGGCTCCATAGAAAAAAAAATTGTTTTAAGATGGAATGATACTCCTTTTTCTCCTATATGGGACCAAATCAAGAGAGAATAATGGACCAAATGGTCAGACGGCTCAGTGTATGACCCCAAGTGAGTTTTATAAAAACAGGTACATACAAAGGTATTGGCCAGCGACTAACTGGATTTTGTGTGTTTACGTTGCTGTCGTGGTTCGACGGTTTGCCACTGGTGACGTTTTTGTTTATTTGCAGTAAATTACATTTTAAATTTTTACAGGCCTCATCTGATTAAGCTGGCCAAAATATAGAAGCCACTATTACTTCTGTGACCATTGCATGCAAACCATCTATTACAATAGCAAGGTTTAAGAATACAGAATTTCGTACGTCAGATAACTAATCAACATTAATTTAAAAAAATGTTTAAATGGTTTGAATGAGCGGAGATATAAATTAGAAATTAAAGTAATTTTGTAAGTTACGTGCTTGCAGACGACATCATCTTTGTTTACGAAGTACTGCTCAAATTTTGGGATTATATTAAAGTTGACGGAGTAAGTTGAATCACTCTCAAAAAAATATTACAAAGTGCGATGGAATTATTACAAATTGCGACAGCTTTTTTTAATTACAAAGTGCGACACTGTTTATTACAAATTGCGACAGGCCTTACAAAGTGCGATGAATTTATTACAAATTGCGGCAGGTATTACTAAGTGCGATGATTATTACAAATTGCGACAGTACACTGAATGGGGGAACCCATCCTCGGAGACTCACGGGCAGTCAGTCGGGTCGGGAGAAAGGGCGTGACGAAAGTTTTCAAGTACGGGCGAAAGAGCCCCTGGGTACCGACTCTCACCGAACTATTTCCAAAAATTTAAGCGGATGCCGGGCAATAGCCGTCGTGTAGGAACTCACGAAAAGAACTCAGGAGAAACTGTTCGCCGATTGGGTACAATACTACAAAGCATTTTTTGTGCCCAATCAGGAGCTGGGATCCGCTTGAATTTTTGGAAACAGTTCGGTGAGGGTCGGTACCCAGGGGCTCTTTCGCCCGTGCATGAAAACTTTCGTCGCGCCCTTTCTTCTGACCCGATTGACTGCCCCTTGGTCTCCGAGGATGGGGGGAACCTCGATAACACTAAACACTTAATTTATTGGCTCTGTAACATGAAACAGTTAAATTTTAGGCATTTTCACACTGAGTAAAAATTCACTGAAACAGTAAATTTTTCCAAAAAGAAACAAAAAAGGCTCCAGAAAGGCCAATATTATTTTGTCTAGTATATCAAGGAGTTTTCGGCCATTTTCCGAAAATTCCCGATTCTTTCAGAAGACTTCAGAAGACTACCGAAGATTTAGGAAAATTTCCGAAGACCGCTGAAGATGTCCGAAGACTATCTACCGAAGATTTCTGAGGAGAAGTATAAAAATTCTCGACTTTATTTTCGTCGTTATATTCACATATGAATGAAATATACTTTTATAGTGTCCAGATACGATTTTTTCAGTGAGAGAAATTCTCCCCGCTTATACCTGAAAGCTCACTAGAACTTTAACAACACCGGAGGGAAATCCTGTTGATGCCGCCATGATTCGACTTCGACGCTGACCAAAGGATCGTGACATTTGATACGGGATGGTCCAGTACTCCCCAGCCCAGAATACTGTTGCGCACGGGTCGAAAAAACAGACTACAACCCCTCTGAGCAGAGGCTCAAAGTTCTAGAGTGATTTTATTACCGATTTTCCAAGAGCAGATAATATCGAACGGAGAGAATACGCCACTTGCACATCTCCCACAATGCACCTCATTTGCCCCCATAATTTTGCACAAGCATTGCTTTCAATTTCTCTTGGGAGGCTGTAATACCCAGGAGAAATGACAAACAAATGTGATGCAAAATTTGGGGGGGGCAAATAAGGTGCATTATGGGAGATGTGCAAGTGGCGTGTGCTAAAAGATTATCGGCCAGTTATTTAAACGGAGTTTAGCCAGTGTTTAGCAAAACCGCGTTCTAAACCATATGCTTTTATGTAAACGCCATTTATCGTGAAAAATTTCATGAAAGAATATGGCGCAGACTAGAAAAGCATTTGTCCTCTTAACATAACCCACTGAATAAGAGATCTGGAGTTCCAAATATTTCCTAAAGCGCGGTCTGCCTAACAGCCAAAAAGACGAAACGCAAAAGGTACCAAAAGCCTTAAACAGCCGTGGCTTCTGTCGATTTTAATTGTGCTAATAATACAAATTCACCAATTCACACTTCAGAGTTCCCCCAGCCCTCCCATTCTCCTCCCCTCCCCCTCCCCCTGGTTAGGGGTGGAGATCAGTCGGCAGAAACCGACAGCTGTAAAAGCGAAATGCTTTTGGCGAGGTATAAAGACTACATAAATTAATTGACTGTTCCTGGCTGAATGAATTTCTTCAAGAGGATGTCTGTAGTAAGTAGCTACCACTTCTTGTGTTGCCACTGGTAACCAAAGCTCTGTGAGTATTTCCTACAGGTTTTACGATCGTATTTTTACCCCATACAAACACTGTAATGTTACTGGCACTGTACTGTGGTACTATCACTGAGCCTGGGTTACCTGTAGTGATGCCGGTGGCTATTAATCACCTTTGATTTGTGTAATTTGCAGTAGCCTTCGTGTTGCCGTACTCCTCTTCCCCTGCAGGGAAGGTACCGCGCCGACGCATGTGGGCTATAAATAACCAGGCACTTACATTTATTTTAGTTGATAAGGATAAATAGCATTGACGTCGATCCAACATGACAAGTTCTGAATTAAGAACTGATCTCTGATAGGTTTTGCGCGGAGTAATAAATTAGAGAAATGGGATTGAGAATACAATATTGTCAGCTAATTTGTTGCTGCAGAAAGTTATCGAAGGGTGTTTAGAAGAAAGAACGATGGCGAGAGAAATTGAACTAAGCCTTGCAGAGCTTTCGGAGTATCCTACGGGAGAGACTGAGCTAAGTGAAGATCAAAAAGGATTCCTAGAAGCGGTTAATGCCGGAAACTATAACAAAGTGCGCGAATATATCTTGCAGAAGTCTGTTGATGTGAACTGTGTAAACCTTCTCGGAGAAACGGCTCTTCAAATAGCAGTGAACAACAACTATCACGATATTGCCAAACTTCTTCTTAACCAAGGAGCAGATGTCGGCAAGGCGTTACTACATGCCGTCGGAATTGAATCGACATTCTGGGTGGAGGCTTTACTTAAGAAGGAAGCAATAAGCAACGGAGCATCAGAAACTACGTTACAACGAGCAAGCCCAAATCAGGTAGACGGTAGTGAGCACATGCCGCACATCCCGCCTTTAATTTTGGCTGCGAAAAAGGATAAACAAGAGATCGTGAAGATCTTTCTTGAGAAACATTACACAATTGACGAGCCGCACAAACGATCTTGCAAATGCGATAAATGTGAAGGGCCAGGCCGTCTTGGGGGTTCCATTCATCGTCTGCATTGCTACCAAGCGCTCGCGAGCCCTATTTACTTGTGTTTGTCTTATTTACTCGACACTCCACCCAGTAAAGATCAAGACGTAAAATCATCCAAAGACCCGATCATCCGCGCACTCCTTTTAAACCGGAAATTGGAAAAGCTTGTGAAAGTGGAATACGAGCTTAAGAATGAATACCAGAAGCTCATAAGTAGTTGCGAAGAATTCGCTGTATCGCTCCTCAAGAAATGCCGAACGATGGAAGAAATCCGCTGTTTGATGAGTGTGCCGGGAATTGAAAAACTTAAATACGTTGAGGTTCGAGGAGGAACAGAAGCCAAGAAACTAAGCGTGCTTAATTTTGCCATCACTAATAAGAATGAGAAGGTGAGAATTGCTGGATTAGACGTGAGTATTCAAATATGGCTTATTGGGCGAGCAGGCAGAAATTTGTTGGCCGATATCCATCCATCTTGACCTTGCACTTAGTCAATAACGTATAAATATTTATTTTTAATTTTGTGAATTTTCGTGCTTGGTTACCGTAACCTAGATAAGAGGTGCTGCTTTCATAAAATTGGCTAAAAACATTAAATTCATTTACACTGCAATTGCATGTCAGTCCCCACACATCCTCAACAAACAGTTATGCCACACATTATATATACGTGGACTGTAAATGCACAAGTTCTGAAACACATTTCTCATAACCTAAGAGCGGATTCAATTACAACATACAACATATACCCCGAAATTAGCACGACATCAAATACCCATGAAGCACGCGAGAAACCACGCTTGGTTGTCCTCCGTAATCTATTTGCTATTATAATTGTTTTCTCCCGTTCTACAGCATTACTGTTTCTCGGAAAGATTTCAGAGGGCAACCAAGCATGGTATATTCTCGAGTGCTGCATGGGAATTTGGGGCCTACGTTAGTTAACTATTATACACTAATGAATTTGCAACACTGAATTTTTTAACAAAAATCTATCGACGAATTTTGATTTTATCACTGTTTTCGTGAAAGTAGCCTTAAGGCTGGTTTTCACTAGCGACGGAGTCGGAGTCGAAGTCGTAAGAGTCGTAAGAGCGCTTATGGCCCAGTGAAAATCAAAAATCGGAGTCGTAAACGGCCTATGACGGAAATCAAAAAATCAGAACGTTTCCAACTTCCGAGTCATATGCGCGACGGAAAACCAGTTTGTCGGAGTCGAGAAAGAATCAGAACGTTTCCAGTTTCTTCTGCTTCCGACTCCGGTCTAGTTTTCACTAGATCATAGGCGGAACGTAAGCGACAGAGTCGTAAGCGGAATTGTTTTCACCTGATCGTAAGATCTACGTGAAAACCAGTTTGTCGGACTCCGTCGAAAAACCAGCCTTTAGAAATTACGGAAGAATTGCATGTTCACATGTTTTGTTTTTGGTTTAAATCGCGCTAGTTTTTTTAGCTGGTTGTTCTGGTCATTTGCCAAACAAATGAGTGACAAAAATTAAAACTTTTCCGAAACCTCCGAAATTTATCTGCATTAAGTCCAGCCTTCAGTTCAGGCACAATTTATACCCTTTTGTAGAAATTCCAAATTTAAGATATTTCGAAATTCCTCTAAGAGATTTTTGTGAAACTTCGCACAACAGAAGACAAGCACCCAAAGTATAGGTAGCGTAAAGCATTTCCAAAGAAAATGCTGATCACGGCAGAAATTCGATTTACAGCAAAAACTATTGTGACGTCATTGTCACGTGATATTCCGATCGCCAAAAATATAGTATCATAATAAAGTTTAGTCTATGTGTAATACATGTGTTATAATGTATAATCTTTTTACAAGAAAGATCAATTTGTTTAAGTATGAGAGATTCAAAGATGGAAGGTGTACCTACAAAAATACTCGGTCGAGCCACAAGAGAGGGTAGATGTAACCGGGAGTGTACTCAACAAAATTTTACGTTATACGGAGAGGCTTAACCAGTTAAAAAAACAATAGACTCTGCAATGGCAATTTCCATATCTGAAATGATGCAGAAGAATAACTTTTTATATATGACATACATATAACTTAAATTTCCATGCAGAATATAGAAATCTGGTATTTGACATGGGGCAAAATATGAAAACTGCTGAGACTATAATGAACAAATTTCTGTATTTTACTGATGAAGAACAGAAGTCCAATCTCTTACCCTTTTATATACATGATTTGTTAGAAATGACACACTCGTATATACCTTCATTGAAAAAGGTACCCCTTCCAAATACCTAAATTAAAACACTCCACCCCAAAGAGATTGCTCAAAATTCTGTTTATGACAGATTGTTATACTTGCTAAGCCTTTCTCGGCAGACAAATGGTTGCGACATTTTAAGCCAGGGGCACCCAACGACTGTTTTGTGTAACATACCTGTTCAAAGAAGCAAATATTGCCTGGCATTTTCTAAAGTGAGGGGGGCTAAAGATTTCTAGATGACCTTTCCACTCATGGACGATTTTCTAAGCGTATCTAATAAATTCTTAACTATATTCTGCACTTTGATTTTTCACATTTCACTCCCCAGGTTAAGCTATATTTCGTAAAAATTCGAAAACGAGATGGAGAGGGGAATCAGAAAAATTTTCAAGTTCTTAAAATTCTAAACTGTACCTAACAGTCGGGAAACTGATACTGCCATTGTGAATTCAAAAAGACTCAAGTTACCTTGAGGACCATCGAACACATGCAAATTTTAAAACGCCGCTTAGAATGCATTACCAGAGATCTTAAAGTACTCTGGATAGCCTAAAATGTTTTTCAATGTACTGTATTTAGTAGGAAACGGTTTCGCCTGTGAGGCTTATTGCATCAGGCGACCGTGGTCATCATTTAGCCGCTAACTGTTTGTACTTTTTCTGTTAGTTTGTGGCCCATCCTTATAGCCAAATGATGCTGAATTCTGTGCTCTACGATGACTTAAGGGGATATAAAGACCTAAATTTCTTAAAGAGTACCGTCTGTTTCCTGCTGCTGTGGCTGATGCTACCTTTCTTTGCACTGTGCTATTTGGTAGCACCCAAATGTCGAATCAGCAAACTCCTAAACACACCAGTCCTCAAATTCATGAGTCACACCGCCTCGTTTCTCTGGTTCCTTGTTCTCCTGATTCTCTCCTCGATTCAAGACAAGTTCCTTGACGATGTCTTTGCTTTTTCACCCTTAGGTAAACATTTTCTGTTTTTTTTTGATAAGTTGTTTTTATGTTGAGGGTCAGCAGAACTTTTGACAAAAGGTTTCGATCAAGGTTTGGCCGGTTAGTAGTAGTAGTAATAGTAGAAGTACTTTATTTGATAAATAAGGTTTGCTAAAATGGCAGCGACATACTGATGTAGACCTACTGTTAATAAACTGAATTAATAAATAAATAAAATATATATCAATATATATCAATATGGCGCGCAAAATATTTTCAGTTAAAAATAGCAACAATGATAACCAAAGTATAAAAAGAAAGAAACATATTTCAAACATTTAACATACAAAAATTTCTGGATATGAAAAATGCACGAAAACATCTGTATTATTGTTGGTCGCTGTTGAATTTGTACCAAATGTAGTTTGATCAACAGTCTTTGTTGGTGTTCCCTCATGGTTAAGCGCCCTTATTTTGAACGTGGAATTCAGGAGATCGAATGCATAGTAAGGAATACAACAAAGTAGTCTAAATGTTGCATTTAATTCGGGCTTTGGGATAGGTAAGAGGTCGGGAAGCTGATGGTCTCATCTCGTTACTAAAATCTATTTCTTTATTAATATTCATTACTACCTACTAGAGTCTAGTCTTTTCTTTTATAGTTAATGAAAGAACATAACACTACCACCACCAGATTTCTATTGTTTCCCACCATCAACACCACACCACAACATTTCTATTGTTTCCCATCACTACCACCACACCACCACATTTCCATTGTTTCCAACCATAGCCACCATCACCACACTTCCATTGTTTCCCACCATCACCACCACCACCACCACATTCCTATTGTTTCCACCATCACCACTACCACCACATTTCTATTGTTTCCCACCATCACCACCACCACCACCACATTCCTATTGTTTCCACCATCACCACTACCACCACATTTCTATTGTTTCCCACCATCACCACCACCACCACCACATTTCTATTGTTTTCCACCATCACCACCAATTGTTTTGTTTCCACCATCACCACTACCACCACCACATTCTATTGTTTCCCACCATCACCACCACCACCACCACCACCACCACCTATTCCTATTGTTTTCCATCACCACCACCACCACCACATTTCTATTGTTTTCCACCATCACCACCACCACCAACACCACCACATTTCTATTGTTCCTACCATCACCACTACCACCACATTTCTATTGTTTTCCACCATCACCACCACCACCGCCACCAACACCACCACATTTCTATTGCATTATTACCATCACCAACACCAATACATTTGTCTTGTTCTCCCTCCTTCTACTCCTGTTTCAAATAACAAAGTCTTATTACTGTCTCAATCTTCGCACTTGTGTCTTCAATTCTCATGAGATTCCAAGTAGTGTTTATGTGCTGTTACAAACGCCTTTCCAAAGAATAAAGCTAGATTGTCAATTCCTTTTCTTTCTTGACTTTGCATCGAAACATCGAGAGCATTTTCCTGGATATACTGCGAGCAGTCTTTTATTATTTGTTTCAAGTCACAGTAGTTTGAAAGCACGCGTTCTGGGCATTCAAGCATGGCATATTTTTAAGCGACAGAAACACAGGAAACAACTGTATCTTGCAATTTGCGGTCTTATTATTATTTATTTTCAAGGAAGCCAATAAGAACTAATCCTCACACCCAGGGAACGAGTTACGACGCACTAAGAACATCTGTTTGGATGGCTAATCAGAAACAGGTTATTTTTAATGTATACTAAAGTTTTCAGGGTGAGAGTTTTTCTGTGTATTCTGTTATAAATAATGATGCAAAGGACTTTTTTTATCTTGTAGATGCTTTTATCGCATTGTGGGTCGTTGGTATGCTGTTTCAGGAAGCAAAAGAGGCCTATCGTCAAGGAAAAGAGCGTTACCTGTCGCAGTACTGGAATTTGGTCACCCTCATTATGCTGGCTCTCTTTGTAGTTTCAGGAGTGCTTTGGTTCATCGGACATCTTATGATTGTTTCAGGAGTTAAGGAAGCCAGTGCGAAGAAGCTGGACTATCGATCGATCCTACTGTCCAATGCGTTTTTTGCGTTCGGTATGGTTTTGGCCTTTTTTCACATTTCCAACTCATTTCAGGTCAACTCGATGCTCGGCCCGCTGCAGCTTTCCCTTGTCAAGATGGTTCGAGACATCGTCAAATTTTTGTTCCTGTTCCTGCTGCTGTTTCTTGCATTCGCCTGGGCGGAAAGAAAGGTGTACTCGAGTTACGTCCATGCCAGAACAAAATTTGTGGCAAATACAACA